AAATAACAGAAGAGAGTTTGTTATTTTGCTCCTTAAACAGCCAAAATGCAAAAGTGAACTGATGTCACTTTCACTTCTTAACAAATCTTAATTGTCTCTGTCACATTTTTTTCCTCCTTTTCTGTCAATTTGTCAGTGCTTTCTGAGAGGATTGTTAACATTTTTCAGGGCCATGTTGCCTGTTGCTTCTACCCCTTGAAAAGCCTTACTTCAAAGCTTAGGCATTTTTTTTTAATTTGGTGACTAAACTGTACTAGGATAAAGGTCAAAGGTCATGGACTAAATTGCAACACATTAATGTTTTAAAATACAACATTTGTGTGGAGAGGTAGTGGGAAATGTACCAATAAAAACTTCTACATTATTTGGTATTATCCATATTAATGCAATTCTTTTTTTAATATACAAAAATGTTCCAGCTCTTGAAAGTTCAATATGCATCTTGCAATAGGGAGCTTTATAAGCAAAAACGACAGTGACGGCAGTGAGAATGGCAAAAAAAAGCAATGTTCAGGTTTAAAGTATAACAACAACTTTTCTTCGCCAAAAGAAAAAATAATTAACAAACAAACAGAAAGAATGTTGGCAGGGACACCGCCACAGCTGTGGCCAATTGCAGCGTACATTTCTTTGCCATTGCTGCACAGCAAGTACAACGTGAAACATCCGGATCACTTTACCTTTCTGGGAAACTGCCCCTTACCCCACCCCTAAGCCAACATTTTGCCTTAAGTGAGAAGTAAGTGTTAATGTTGGCTTAGGGGAAGGGTAGGTGGGCAGTTTCCCAGAAAGGTAAAATGACCCAAACGTCCTTGCTAGTTTCACTCAGTTTTACTCACTCAAAGTTTGTCTTTCACAGGGTGGTTCGGAATAAGAAAGGACTTTTGTGATTTTCTCCTTGGAACATGTCCCTTTCTACAAGAGTATGGCAACATATTCTTAAGGCCACCTCCTGAGGAAACAGCAGTTGAACCACAGCGCAAGCCTGTAATGCATGAGTACCCAGCCAAATGTGTTGTGCCAGTGGTGTCTATTGAAATGCCTGACTAGTGGAAGAAAATACCATCATTAATAATATTGCGAAAGAACATGTTTTGGATACATGACATTGGCAACAAAAAACTGACACCGTTATACAGAACAATGGAGACAGGACTGTATGAACTATGTGCACTTTTCTGTCATACTTCTAAAGAACAGAGTTTGGCAATCCATCAACCAGTCAAAGTTTTACATAATGGAAGAGGCCCTCAAAAGATTAAGCAAGAAAGAGACTTTGCAAAGGAGAAAGGTGATTTTATTCACACTTCCTCTTGTGATTGGAGAAGGAGTGAAGGACTATAATATTATATGGTCCAATGCATAGGAGGAGTTCAGTTGCTCAAAAAACTTCATCTTTTCAACTTAAAGTTCACTGCTTTTTAACCAGGGGTCAATTAAATAAACTTTTACAAGTGTAAGTTACAAGTTCAGATTCTAAAACAATGGCCAGTGCTCTTGTAGATTACAGTGTCCACTTCTAAAGGTTTCATTAATTGAACCCAGTATGATAAAACCATGAAGGATGTGATTAACTCTGACCCAAGAACTCAGGGCACCCACTAAAGTAAGAACTGACGGGTCAGAAAATGAAATTGGTTTTTCTACAGAGTTTTCTCTAGAAAACCTATCACTGCTGTTCCAAATAATGGTCAGTACCATCAGTGAAGGTGTTCTGCATTATTATTGTTCATCCTTCTAAAGAAGCATTGACCCGCTAGACACTCGTGATTTATATTTTGCACAAATTAAAGGAACAGTCAATTCACATGAGCATTAGTAATTTGTAAATCTGTGATTGAAGCAAACCACATGGGTAGGACTAATTTCTTTTAGGCTTCCTTCACTTAGTTCCCAACTCATTCTTGTAGCTCTGTTACAAACAAGGTGTTTCTTATAAAAGTGGGGTATTTATACAAGTTTTGTCTTGACAGGATAGCAACATATTTATTGGGAAAAAAGTGTACAATGCTTGTTTTATTTACCATGTCACTTCTGTTCTGATTACTGTTTCTGGTAAATACAAAAACCATGTACACTTAATATGTTTCAGTAACATTGACTTGTACCTTAACTAGTTACTATGATGTGATATCCCTATATCCTATTGACTGGCTTTTTTCTGATAACAAAATTTCAATAACTTTCAGAACATATTTCTGGTGTTCTGAGATTTTGTGGCCAGAAAACAGTAATAATTGTACTTGTCAATCAAGAGTGGTAGAGACAGGGCTTGAAAATCACCTTGAATTCAGTATTGTCCTTCAAACAAGCCGTTCTCATAAATGTTGCTTGCCACAGTTTATTGAATGTGTCGTAGATTACATCTAAGGCCCCATTTATTTGGAGAAAAGTTTCCCTTGGAATGAGGATCACCCTCCCAGCTGAGTCAACTTTAGCGAGCATTTATATGAGAAAAGAGTTAATCCCTAATTGCCCAAGCCAAGAGCTGACAACAGCGCTCATGCATACAATATTACTCTAATTCTCTCATCTTGACCGGGTTGGCCAAAAAATTTACATGGAGAAAAGTTGGCCCAGTTCTAGGATGGTGACCCTACCACTGAAAAAGCCGAGCCCCTTTTTGTTTCTTGTGTAAACAGTTTGTTAAGTATCATTAGAAATGCATCAAATTGAAAAGTTGGCTTCCCCAGAGTAGCTTAGGTACGCAAATGACAAAATTTCTCCATATAATTGGGGGCCTTAGTTAGAAGACCATTGATTTTTGTGATTTTTGTCTGGTCCTTGACTATTGAGCCAGTGAACATGAGAAGTTACTTGTTGAAGAGGGAAATCTAGTTACCACAGATGACTGGACATAACTTTTTTTAGCCCTCGGAGGGTTCTAAAAATTAATGTGAAGTCATTACAAACATACAAATTACACATATGCAGTAAAGATTTTGAAAATACAGTAGAACCCTGGTAACTCGCACTCTAAGGGGAAACAAAAAACAGTTCGAGCTAGTGGGGAATTCTAATTATTGGGGTAAATTTCAGTGAAAAGTTTGATCAAGGGAAGTAATAGAAATTTTGTTCAAGTTAGTGGGGAATTCGAGCTCTCCGAGATCGAGTTATCAAGGTTCTACTGTACCCTGTACTTAAAAACAAATATTATTGTAAACGAAAAAGCCTACATTTTGTTTAACACTAATAGTCATTATCCTCTAAAATTTAATATAAATGTACATATATAAGAATGCATGCTTACAGTTTAGATCATGATTGTAAATATTATTTCATTACAATGTTTCATTAATTTTGCTCTTATAAGATTGTTAAATTATCAAAAAGAGTATTTTTTTTTTTGCAATACTTTCTTAACAAAGTTATCTAATAAACAAACTTTGAGGATGTTTGAGAAAGTTTCAGCCATTTTACTTGCCATCTTTTTAAGGGGACTTAAAACGGTATATTTTTTGTAAAATTTAATGTAGTCGAAAAACCAATTGTGTGACCATTTAAATGGTACCTTTTTGGCAAGAGAATTCCAAGAGAATTCAAGTGATCTCCAAACAGAATTAGTTGAGAAACTTTGATACGCTGTACGATCAAAGCCTTTTTCTTTTGGTGATCATTATTTTTATCAGTTCTCATAAGATTCTCTCTCTTGATTATATATATGGATATTGTTAGGAAAAATTGATGTAGGTGTAAACTCTTGGGAATATTAAAAAAGGATTAACAGACTCCCTCATAAGCAGACATTTCTACTGCTGCCTTGACAAGACCCTCTTTAAACCAGCTTCTTACAAAAAGCATTCCTATAGGTGGCCAGTTCCAGTTGCAGACACTTTTTTCTGCTTCCAGAGGGTGAGAAAAGTTTGACTGTACACCATTAAATGGTGCTTTTATAAGCACAAGTGATAGAACTACTGTAAGGAACTACTTCACCACATGTTAAGTTCGCCTACATAGTACTCATACTATTATGTACTTAGGTGTCTATTTTTTTTCCTGTTTATTTTAGTCTACAGTTCAGTTTTCCTTAGAACAACACCATCGGGACCAAATGGCAATTTAACCAAGACATGTTGTGCAATTTGCAAATGTAGCTATTATTTTCAAACTCTAAAACAGTAGCTACACTATTAAATTGACGCCGGTACTACTGTTCAATCTCTATTGAAGAGTGTTTTCCACTTAATGACAGTCAAAGAAAAAAAAATGATGAGAAGAGGAGGCACCGTGGCCGAGCGGTTAGAGCGCTGGACTTGCAATTCAGAGGCCCTGAGTTCAAGCCCTGCTCTGACCACTAGCTGGATTTGTTCACAGTAGTCCCAAGTTCAAATCCTCGGCTATGCTTGTAAATAGCCAGCTGGTTTGCCTCTGGAATTATTTGTTTCAGATATTTGCTTGGCCCCACTAGCATTAGTGCTATAAATACTGCCGAGGGTAAATAACAGAATTATTTTATCTAACATGCAGAGTTGTGACACCATGGGTCCATAACTGCCCTTCTTACTGTGCTCTGGATTGGTGCTTCCCAGGGCACTGATATGGAATGCCAACATGGTGACATTATGGTAAATCAATGTTTGGATATTTAACAGTTGCAGAGTTGTGACTCTGATGTTCCACAACATCCCTGCTTGATGTGCTCTGGATTGATACTCATCATGGGCACTGATACAGAATGCCAACATGAAAACATAATGGCAACTCAACTTTTGCCTTAAGCTTGGTATTTAAAAGTTGCAGTTACAACTCAGTTGTTCCATAACTTTCGTACTTGATTTTACAAGGATTGATGTTCCCTACAGTCAAGGAGACTAAACGCCAATGTGGTGACAATAAGGCAACTCAAAGTTTGCCGAAGCTTGATTTTAACCTGTTGCAGAGTTCTAATAAATTCTGTTGTTCCACATTAAATCCCTGCTAGTTGCGCTCTGGATTGATGCTTCCTACGATCACTGACACAGAATACCACCATGGTGACAATATGGCCACTCAATGTTTGTTCAAGCTTTTTCCATCACTGGTGGTGGTGCTACAACTTCTTCTGCCACCATAAAATCCTCCTAGATGAAAAATATATTAAGCAGTTATTTAAAATAAGTTGTAGAGACTTTAAATTGCTGCAATAGGTGTGCAAATTGTCTGCAATGTGATTATTATTATTATTATCTAGAACTTGATTAATCATGGTCAATCAACTCCTATTAGTCTCCTTGTCAAGGAGTTTTGATAGAATATAGCTTAAAACTGTCTTCATTGGTTGCAAACATCTAATCATATAATACATGTGCAGTAAGTGAGAAAAAATATGATAATCCCCATGACAATACCAGTAGTCTTGAATAGGATTGTTGATGACACTAGCAATGAAGTTTTGAAAACCAGCGCAAAAGTCATTACCTTCGACTCTGATAAACACTTCTGCAGCTTCTGCACCGACATATTGACTTACACTTGTCCAATAGGCAGAGCCCACATATCAACTCATGTGTCAGCCGTGTATCAGCTGTAATGTTGGCTAATACACATACAACATATTGGCCAATACATGGTCTTTTCTTGGTCAGTATGCTGGTCAACACACGGTCAATACTGCTACCATATTCCTCATTTGCAAGCAATGCCACCTTTGTGGCAAGTGGAGTGTTTGAACAAATTACTCGCAAGGACTTAAGTTCTTTAAGAATTGCTACGCAAGATAGGCAGACATTTGCCACAGGTCAAAGTCCCTTCAAAACTGCTGCCTTGGCAACAGAAATAACAAAAAATTGAGTAGACAGCAAATAAAACTCTAGAAGAAGAAAATGCATGCTATATCAATATAGTATCAACCGAATGTTGATGGCCTGTCGAGTGATATTTCGACTGATTATCAGACACTATCAGTCGTCATATCCTTCGATATGCAAGTGAAGTGCAGACAATCTGTCGGTTGACATATCACCTTACACCCAGCTGACTCATGTTAAGGTATATTTAACAATTACTTCTTGAGCCCGAATGGGCTCTGAGTCAATAGCCCATGAGGCTATTGACTCAAACAAGGCAAACAACTAACCATATCATAGATGACTCGCACAATTAAGGAGCAACTTGGGCACCGAGCTACATCCTCCCCGTTTTCCAGTTCCTCCTAAAACGATAACGGCAGTGGTTTTAGTGTGGTTTAAAAGATTACATTAGTTACCAATACAGGAGAAAGGGTTTATTTAATATCAGTTCAATCTTTGTACTAAAAGCATAAGCAAGGTTTACAAAAGGTAGCCCAATATGGCTCAATCACAGACAGAGCTAATTCTGTAGTCTGCAGTCTTTTAATTCGTTTAACACAGAATCCATCAGGAAATTAGTAATATTAATTTTCAGTGGACAAAAACCTTGTACCAGAATAATTTAAAGCATATTGCATTATTTTTTACATTTTTCAAGGGACTATAGAAGAAACTAGTTGTGTGTAGTAACACCAAAGATAATTTCTTATGGGGGCCCGAGAAAATTAATGTCAAATTTCACAAAATGACTGCTTGCACGTGAAATTTTCAGAATTTTACCTGTGTTTTCACAATTCTTGAGAAATTTTACATTCACTTTCTCGGGCTCCCATAAAAAATTTTCTTTGGTGTTATTACAAATAACTAATTAAATCTCTAACCCTTGAAAATGTAAAAAAGAATACAATATTCTTTAAATTACTATGGAACAAGGTTTTTGTCCACTGAAAATTAAAATTACTCAATTTCTTGGTGGATGCAGTCTTATTAAAAGACCTTTTAATTTAAGATATAGCATTAAGAAATAGTAATTAACTTTTACCTTTGTGATCTGAAACTGATCGCCACAAGGGCAAGGATAGAAATATGTCTCAGACTCCTCGTCGTATTCAAAGTCCTCGATTTCTACTTCGTCGTGGAATACGGCCATGGCTGCTCTGAAATTTTCAGTAAAAATGTTAAAGGCGAACAGTGCTGAGCAGCCTGCCCTTATTTGAAGGGATTGGGTACCAATGAAAAAATTTGCATTAAACGTGTTTGCAGTAAGTTTGCAGTAACTTTAAGGGTGGGGGTGGCTGGGATGGATTTTATTCGATAGCCAAAAACTAGTCAAAATTTCTACTGTCAGCTAAGGCCTAGGCTAACCGTCGAACTTTTCATGAGACGAACCAAACTTGGTGAGTTAAGTTCATGAAAAGTTCGATGTCTGGCTCAGTTTTCGTTTGAATGAGTGAGTTTAGATCGTCCTGACACGTTCTGTCCAATCAGTGAAAGATATTCCGGCAATTCTACATTTTTACAAAAAGGTCACTGAACTCTGCTAGATAAAAACAGCAGAAAAACTAAGTTTCTACATTCATTTTTCTTAGAACAAAATGCAAAATTGTTACCTTTTTTCTCTATGCTTGCGGTCTGGGATAAAAGTTAATATAAGGAAAGGTACCTTTTTGTGAAAAAGAAGTCAGGTATTTTCAGCTTTCGAGTGAATGATATTCTGACGTCATTATTGTCCGCTCTTCATCCATTTCTCACTTTACCAAACGATGTTTTAAAGCGCGAAAGAGGTACCCTTTCTTCGGTTTCAAGCAATCTCATGAAAGGCGCAAAAAGATACCTTTTTTGCAGTTGGAAGTGATGTTCTCACAAGCACGAAAAAGGTTAGCCTGTGCCAGGCTCTCAGATAGTATAGCGGGAACATATTAAAACGAGCAAAGCGAAAATAAGACGTGCACGTCTTGGCATTTCTTTTTACTGAACGACTTTCCACCACTATCTCGGAGCCTGGAACAGGCTAGAAAAAGGTACCTTCAAAGTCTCCAAAAATATAAAATAGTTTTTTCTAGCCATGGGAAGCCATTTAAAATCCTACTGATTGACAGATGTCAACCGTTTGGTGCCATTTTATGAATTTTTTTGTTTGAATTTACCGATCCACTAGTCAAGAGATAAATATTCCCTGTTTGTTGGCCAAGTTTGAAAACGATATTGCTGAGCTTGACTTTGTAACAGTGTCAGGTCGCTCCTGGGTCGCAGTTTTAAAATCTATTCCCCGTGCTTGATCTGTGAGCCATCTTGATCAGTGTCGGAGTCAGGAAGTTGAAAGCATTGTCACTGGTTCGGTGGCTATCAATGAATGACAGGTGTCAGTTATAAGTAACCTGAAGAGAAGCCGGTCCAGGCTCTTGTGCGTTTAAAATGCTTTTTTGTTTCCTCGTTTAAATGCTTTACATTAATGCTCCATTATTTCGAATAACATGCTCACCCTAAAACTGAATTCACTAAAGGGAGCGATGATGCAAAGATGATACGTATAAGTGTTATAACAACAATGTATGCTAAAAGACAATTGTCTAAACAAGGGTATTTGAATCTTTTTCATTTCGAATTTTGAGAGTTTATTTTCTATTTGAAAATTTCTAATTTTCATTTTCTCTGAAAAAAAGAGAAAAAATTTTCCGGGAAATTCTACCAAAGTTCTCGAAAAAATTGCTGGCATGCAGTACAAAAGTCTAAGAAGAAGAAAGCTGTTCAGGCTTACTTTCGTGTTTAGTTAGGGGTTGTCATAGGTACATGTATGGTGGCAGTTTTTACTGTTGATGGCTTTACTTCGGCCTGTAGCTCAAAAAGCACCTGAAGTTAAATTATTTAGTTTACATCATAGCAAACAAAAATAACCCCAGGACTGAAACCTCTAATAACCTTTCTGGAGTGAAAATCATCACCCCCGAAAGAAGAAAGTTATTAAAATGATCCGCTCGGAACCCGCTAGGTTTAAACTTAATGAAAAAAAAAATGCAAAATGAACACCTCTGCTTTTTGTCGTAGATCGAGGTAGATTTTTTTGTAAATTAAAATAGTTTGACTTTTCATGTAGGACTTCTTTCAGGTTAAAGTATTTGCTCCACGCTTAAAAATGCACTTGCTGACATCCACTTCTTGCATCTAGTTTTAAAGTACCAGAAGTTGTTACATTTTCAGGAGCCATGCCATCCATTGGGCTGGTGGCCAGTATTTTAGGATTTCTTCTAGTTTCTCGCTTTTGATCTTGGCTTAAAGACGCAAGTTAAATTTTTTTTACACTGCTGATTTCCCTTTTGTAGACCATTTCAATTTTAAGAGCATCACTTAGTCCCCTAAAAACAGTCTGTGCTTCGTTACGTTCACTGAAGCTCAAGAGGTGCCAACGGTTGACTTCTGTCCATTACTAGGATTTTCAATAGCTTTCTAAAAGCCTGAAAACACTATATATTAAGACTTCAAATGTACCATTTTCGCGCTTTTGAGAACATCGCTTCGAACTGCAAAAAAATAAGGTATCTTTTTGCGCCCTTTTAAGATCGCTTGAAACCGAAGAAAAGGTACCTCTTTTGAGCTTTAAAACATCGTTTGGCAAAGTGAGAAATGGATGAAGAGCGGACATTATTGACGTCAAAATATCATTCACTCGAAAGCTGAAAATACCTGAATTTTTTTTTCAAAACAAAGGTACCTTTTCTTAACTTTTGACCTAAACGACAAAAAAGGTAACAATTTTTCATTTTGTTCTACGGAAAATGAATGCAGAAACTTACTTTTCCTGCTGATTTTAACTAGCAGAGTTGGCCTCAATGTACGTAAAAAAGTAGAATTGCCGGAATCTTTCGCTGATTCTATCCGTCTACTTCAGGGCCTTCAGACGCATAGAATGTCTGAAGATTGTTTCCGGGGAAAACGTCGATCCTATCATCACATGCGACGGAACTAAAATAATGCGGGATAAAAAAAAAATGTATGATTAACACCAACAACATCAAATTTATTATTTTGAACAGATATATAATTTTTCCAATATGGGGAATAAGAATCCCTTATGGGCTTTTACAAGGTTCTTTTATTAATTATTTACTATTTGCAGCGTATTTACCATATGCAGTGTAATCTAACTATAAATGCAACTATAAATTAATTCAATTTTACTTTTTTGTTTCATTAAGTCTTGTTTTTGTCCACGTACTGCTTTCCTGTTTTGATCTTTTGTTTTTACTTGTACTTGAAGTTATGCTTAGCTTGCGAATCTACTTATTGCCATTTTCTCTAAGTCTGTAGATGAGCATTTAGACCATTTGGAGGAAGTTTTTAGAAGGTTGCGTGACGCCAATGTTAAGTTGAATCCAAAGAAATGCAGTTTCGTTAAGCAAAGAGTAGAGTATCTTGGTCACGTAGTTACGCCAGAAGGCATTAGTCCCAACCCAGACAAAGTAAGGGTGGTTCAGGAATACCCCACCCCCACAAATCTGAAGGAACTGAGAAGTTTCTTAGGCCTTGCGAATTATTACAGACGTTTTGTAAGAGGTTTTTCACATATTGCCAACCCTTTGAATGCTTTGACAAAGAAGAACGTTCCTTTTGATTGGACTGTAGCTTGTGCTGAGGCTTTTGACAAGCTTAAGCGTGCCTTAGTTTCTGCACCCATTTTGGCGTATCCTAATTTTCGGGAACCATTTTTGCTATTTGTTGATGCTAGCTCCACTGGTATTGGTTTTACCTTGGCACAAATTCAAAATGGAAAAGAAGTCGTCATTGCGTACAATGGTCGTGGTTTGAATCAGGCAGAGCAAAATTATAGTACCACAGAAA